CTTTCCCAATCTAACCTGTAGAGCTCTCACTAGCTGACAAGGCCTCATTTGCATCTTAAATTTTTCTGTTAAAACATTAACAGACTGTCTGGATGTTCCTTTTGGCTATATTTAAAGCAATTTAGGAAGCTTCTTAACTATTTTTGAAGGGATTTAAGTATCCTTTTAATCATATAAGTAGTTCACACTCACACATTTACAATCACATTTCATACATACCTGTGTGGCCACACCATACATTCAGAACATACATGTATCTTTTAGTCATCCTTTTCCCCTAGGTTATGATTAGTCTGTTGCAATGAAGCTCTCTTAATTGAAATCTATGTAAAAGAACAACTCCAGCCAATCCTTGAACTAAAAGGGTTAAAAGTCCTGTATGTTTTTTATCATTCCTCCATTTGAGCTATAGTCATGGGGTACAGCCATACCTACTCCTTGTAATTCTGTAGATGCAAGGTGGAGAGGCCAGGCTTTTGGCCAAAAGTTTTTAGAGATGACTCACAAAACTTAAATGTAAACAAAATTTTCCATTCCATATACCTTCGTCCTTTTCTTTTTCTTTACTTAATACCAGTACCTCTTTACTGTTACCAAATTTTTTTTTTGAGTCAGGGTTTCTCTGTATTGTTTGAGGCTGTCAGTCCAGCCTGGCCTCGAACTCACAGAGATCTGCATGCCTCTGCCTCCCAAGTGCTGAGATTTATGTTTTTCTGACCATGTGTCTTATCTGTTAAAACTGTGGCTGTTTATACTGTAGTTTTTCTAAGATGGCGGGCATAAGCATGGCTCCAACTATCTCCTCAGTCTATGTTGACATCCAGCAAAAGCTGCTAGCTTGGAGACATGGTCCCTGCCACTGCCAGATGCAGGGGTCATATACAAGTTGGTTTTGGGGCCCTGGGGTGGGGCCCTCTTCCAGTTTCCCTGATTATTATTAGTAGGAAGGAAATTTCCCTCCCGGTCAGTTTTAGAGTAGCAGTTATTGGCCCAATGATATCCCCTTCGACAACGGGGGCATAAACCAGGTCTCTTGAGATGCATAGTACTATTTTGAGGGCACTCTCTACGGAGTGTCCCTCCCTGCCGCAGCTGAAACATGTTTTTCTCCCTCCCAGAGTAGGTCTTTCTTTCCCCACTTGGGGCCGAATAGCAGCAGCTAACACTTGGCCCTGGATGAAGTTCCCATCAATGTCCCTACAGATCCGGATATAGTCATTAAGACTTTTATTGTGATAGGGGTGAAGGGCTTCCTTACAATACTTATTTGCATTTTCAAATGCCATCTGCTTGATGACTGGCATCGCAGGCCCAATGCCCCCAAATATTCTTTCTGCTACCTGACTGAGACGGTCTACGAAGTCTTGAAAAGGTTCGGAGGGTCCTTGAAGGACTTTGGACAGATGATCCCATCCTTCCTTGGAAGGCAATGCTTTCCAAGCCCCTTGGGCCGCTGCTGCCACTTGGGCATAGACTGCGATGTCATATTGCATTTGTTGCTGAATGGTGGCGTATTGACCACTCCCGGTAAGCATCTCCACATTTGTCTGGGGCTGTCCAGCCTGTGCATTTCTTTGGGCTGTCTGGCTGCATCTTTCCTGAAACTCACCTCTCCAAATCAAATAATCTCCCCCTGATAAAGTCGCTCGGCAAAGCTGCTGCCAATCACTAGGTGTCAAGTTAAGAGATGCAAACGATTCCATTAAGGAAAGTGTAAAGGGAGCCTGTGCTCCATAATTTAAAGTTGCCTCTTTAAGTTGTTTTATATCCTTAAAATTTAAAGGGTTATGACGCCGAATGACCTGTCCAGAATTGTCCGGATCTGGAACTTCCATTACTGGGGCCACCACCGGGCAGCATTGGACCCCTCCTCTGGGTCTTCCCTCCAGGTCCGAGAAGGACTGGGTTATCTCATAGGAGGAGTCCCTTTTTTCAGAGTATGGGGAAGGGTTTCTCTCCCTGTCCTGTCTTTCCTTAATTCGAATCTTTTTTAGTTCTTTTTTAAGGGCCGCGATCTCAGCAAGTAACCATTCCTTTTCAGACTGTGATGAGTCTGAGTCTGAGCTACTTCCATTTTCTAGGTCTGATAGAGAAGGATATAACCGATTCTGACTGGTGTCCTTCTTTTTGGGTCACGCCCTGATATCTCTACCCGTTTTTTTTTGTTGTTGTTACTAAGAGACTCCTCCTCATCCTCACTAACAATGGAGCCTCTAGTTTCAGTCACGGTCTCTTCCTCACTCTCTGCCCCTGAACTCAAGGAGGCTTGAGTCTCAGTCTCTTGTAACTCTAAAAAAGCCTCTTTTGTGTCCTGAACTACCTGGTGGTTACGAACCTTATCTGTCAAAAGTGCTCCCGTCACTAATCTCCATAAGGAGAATGTCTTAGGGGGCAAGGACTCAGATCCCTCTTTTCGTAAAAGTCTATGAAGATCACGGCAAACCTCCTCCCAATCTGGAATATTTAAGCTTCCCCCAGTAATGAACCATGGACTGGCTCGTTCGATGGATTTTAGAAAGCCTTCTAGGGTTTTAGACTTGACTGCAGTCCCATGTTCTTTAAGTAACTTTTTTAGTTGATACTGTAATGATTCTAGCTTCCTGGAACTATTCCCCATAGTTTCTTAACCCCGTCCACTTACCTCGCTTTCACGATCTCAGTGGGACCTCCAATTGTCACGTCTGCTGCTCGGCCTGTGTCCGAGAATGTGCGGAGGGTGTCGGGGATTGTCAACACAGAGACTCATTCAACGATATAAAGAAAACTTTAAGCAGGCTCCAAAAAGGTTCAAGAAAACCTCCTAAGAAAAGCTCCCACCAGAGAAGCTTCTGCTCTCTCCTCTACCCTGGCTGGTTCTGCTCTGACACCAGAGGTGGATGTGTGTGGGTTTTTGAAGGTGCGGTTAGTCTTTGGACAAGGTCGAGGTCAGGGTGGTTTCTGTGGGAAGGCCTTTTCCAGGAATTTATTGTATCGTTTTTAGTAAACATGTTTTTGCTAAACATTGTCTTACAGCTGCCTACTCCCAGGCAGAAGGGGAAGTGGGTCTCTGCTCAAGGTCTGGTGTTCCCACACTGGTACTCCCCTGATTCATGTCTAAAATCCATATATGAGTGAGTACATACCATGTTTCTCTTTTTGTGACTGGGTTATCTTACTGAGTACAGTTTCTTCTAGTGTAATCCATTTGCCTGCAAATTTCAAGATTCCATTGTTTTTTTCCGCTGAAGAGTACTCCATTGTATAAGTGTACCACATTTTCTCTATCCACTCTTCAGTTGAGGGGCATCTAGGTTGCTCCCATATTCTAGCTATTACAAATACTGCTATGAACATAGTGGAACAGACGTCCTTGTATGAATGTGCATCTTTTGGGTATATGCCTAAGAGCAGAATTGCTGAGTCATGTGGTAGACTGATTTGGATCACTTTTTAAACAAAAACAATAGATTCATGAAAACTTTACTTGTCTTTACCATAGACTGATAGTGCCTGAATATGTTTTCTTAGTATTTCATATATCTATTCATGTGGGAGAGATTGCATTAAAAATATGTCTTCCAGTGTCTAGACCTGATCATCATGTCTCCTGAGCTAATTGGGGGAAGGAGTTAAGAGAAAGAGAATGGGAGAAGAAGAGGTGAGAGGAGGACATGAGGGAACAGGAAGAATAGAGGACAGCAAGAAAAGAGATTCCTTAATAGAGCCTTTATAGGTTTAAAGAGAATTCTGGCACAAGGGAAATGTCCAGAGATCTAGAAGGATGACACCAACTAACAATCAGAACAATAGTGGAGATGCTACCTTAAATGTTCTTCCCCATAATGAGACTGATGAGTACCTTATATGCCATCCTGTATATTTTATCTAGTGGCTGATGGAAGCAGAAGCAGACACCCACAGTTAAACACTGGGCTGAACTTGATTCCCATTTCAGAGAGGGAGGAGTGATGAGCAAAAGGATAAAGACCAGGCTGGAGAAACCCACAGCTGACCTGAACAAGGGAGAGCTCATGGACTCCAGATTGAATGCTGGCAAACCAGCATAGAACTGATCCAGACCTCCTGAATGTGAATGTCAGTTAGGAGTCTTGGGCAATCTATGGGGTCTCTGGCAGTGGATCAGTATTTATCTCTAGTATACAAATGGACTTTGGAAGCCCACTCCACACAGAGGAATACTCTCTCAGCCTAGACACACTGGAGAAGGCCTACGTTCTGCTCCATACTGTATGACAGACTTTGAAAATTCACCATGGAAGACTTCACTCTCCATGGGGAGCATAAAGGGAATGTGATAGGGGCTAGTGGGGGGCAAGGGAGGATGGAAGGGAGAGGGAACTGTGATTGGCATGTAAAACAAGCTTGTTTCTAATTTAAATAAGAAAAATAATCATAAAAAACACCACACAACTGATTAAGTATATCACCAGAAAATATTCATAGAGGCTAGTGGAAATATCTGACTATATTTATCTCCAATTTTATTCCATTAATTTCTTTTACACATACTGGACTAATTATAAGCTTCTTTTGGAGTCATTAGGTCAGACTTTAAACAAAATGGTATATTTATATCTGCCATCAATAAGCCACCCTGAACAGATAAACTCTGAGATAATTATCAATTTATTTTCATCTCTGTATTCTGGTCTTTTATGAAGAGGTTTGAAGTTATTTATTACGAAAGCCAAGAAAAGTTTTTAGCTAAGTTAGAATGCTCAAGTTATGTCTGAGGAAATAAAAGCAATGAGTTTTAAGATCAGGATTACTGGTAAGAACATAAGGGTGTGTCTGATTTGAAGTTCTTCCAAGTTGATTATCCATGGATCTTTGCATTTCAAAGCAGTACTTAGAGTCCATGTTCATCGAACATGAATAGTCAATAGTTTTAGAATTATTGACAGCAAAATTCAAATTATAGCATTTTACAAATACATCAGAATTTTGTAATGAAAAATAAAGCACTAGGAGTTCCCAGTCTTGTTCTGTGCAAAGCTGTGTATAAGACTGCACTCCCATTCCTAAGGTCCCTAGGTCTTGTAGATTACAGCTTTTAGCCTGTACTCTATAGCTTTTATCTTTTTCTCTATCCTTCTGCAAGTCTCACAGCTTCTCATCCTCTTGCCAATGTCTTTGGAAAACCATTTTAAAGAATTTGAGCCTGAGAAGGATTTAAAGCCTGCATGCTGGGAGGTTTGGAGATAAGAGCAAAGCTCCTAGATTATTGGAGTCTGCAATAGAAGGCATGTGGCGAATGCACCCAGTGTTTACTGAGAAATTAGCTTAATTCAAAAAGAAAGTCTTTTGCTTTCAGGTAAGAACTGTTTATTATGTATTTATTTTCTTGTTTTGTGCTCGATACACACACGACACTGTCTTTTACTAAGATGGAAAATTAACATTCTGATTAATACATTTTGAGTAATCCTTTCCAGATACTTGTTTCTCATTTAAAATCCTGCTTGTTTACTTTCAACACCAATTAACTGACAATCACTAAAATAAGTAAAATGTATGAGATTCAGAGCAAATTAGTTGTCTACCCATTGAAAGTAGTTGTCAAGATGAAGGCAAAACTCTTTTAAAATGCTCTTAAATATAGAAGTAATATGAGTATAATATTTTCTACTACATTTGGATTAAAATCAAAATTCTGTTATTGATGATGTGTTAATATGAGGATTAGAGGTAATTTTAAAGATGCTATGATGTTGTAAATACTGTTTTCTGAGAATTACATGATATAATTCAGGTATGTTTCACCTAAACATTCATCTTTGTCTTGGACATGTCATCCCCAATGCCATTTTGCTCTAGCCTCTCATCTATGTACCTCATAGCCTGACCATGTCAAGTTCCTGCTTCTCTCAGAATTCAAGAGAAGTGATGGTCATACAGGAGTCTATAGTAGAAATGAATTATTGGTGATTTTCAAGTAAGTTTTTTACATGTCCAAACATGTAGAGTACAGGTTTTCAGAGTATGACCTGATGACTATGGATTTCCTCAGGGTCCATTGTCATGTCCCCCTTGTCTTTTCTGCTTTTGTTAATTAGTATGCTCTCTCTCTGCCTTTTGGTTTGTGTGGATAAAGCTTTGTCTATATTGTAGATTTTCTCAAAGCACCAACTCTCTGATTCAATGATTCTTTGTACTTTATTATCTCTTGGTGTCTACTTCTTGGGGAAGAGTTTCCTTCTTTTTCTTCTAGAGCTTTTAGTTGTGTTATTAATTCTCTAGTGTGGCTATTCTCCAGTTTCTTCATGTGGGCACTTAGTGCTATGAACTTTCGCCTTAGCACTGCTTTCAACGTGTCCCATAAGTTTGGGTATGTTGTGACATCATTCTCATTAAATTCTAGGAAGTCTTTAATTTCCTTTTTTAATTCTTTCTTAACCCAGGTATGGTGCAACTGCACATTGTTCAATTTACAAGAGTTTTTTTGAATTCTGCAATTTATGTTGTTGCTGAGTTCTAACTTTAATGCATGGTGGTCTGAAAAGATACAGGGGGTTATTCCAATTTTTTGGTATCTCTGGAGGTTTGCTATGTTGCTGAGTATTTTGTTGATTTTAGAGAATGTTCCATGTGGAGCTGAGAAGAAGGTATATTCATATGTGTTTGGATGGAATGTTGTACAGATGTCTGTTAAACACAATTGGGTCATAACTTCTATTAGTTCCTTTGCTTCTTTGTTAAGTTTCTGTCTGGTGGTCCTATCTAGTGGTGAGAGTGGAGTGTTGAAGTCTCCCACTATAAGTGTCTGAAGTTGAGATATGCATTTTAGTAATGTTTCCTTTACCAATACCAATGTGGTTGCCTTTGTATTTAGCGCATAGATGTTCCAAATTGAGACTTCATCTTAGTTGATTTCTCCTGTGATGAGTATTAAATGACCTCCTTCATCCCTTTTGATTGGTTTTATTTTAAAATCTAAATTGTTATATATTATGATTGCTACCCCCACTTGTTTCTTGGGTCCATTTGATTGGAAAATCTTTTTCCAAACCTTAACTTTGAGGTTACGTCTGCCTTAAATCTGAGGTTTGTTTCTTGTTTGAAGCAGAAGGATGGATTCTGTCTTTGTATCCCTTCTGTTAGCCTATGTCTTTTTTACAGGTAAGTTAAAACCATTGACATTGAGGGATATTAAAGACCATTTATTCTTTTTTGTTTTGGATTTGTTGGTGGTGTTATTGTGTGTGGATTCCCCCTCCCACTTTTTCTTTTGGTATATGGTAAAGTAGGATTATTTATTACCTATGCTTTTGTTAGTGTAGTTATATTTGTTGGGTTGGAGTTTTCTTCCAGTTCTCTATGTAGGAGTGGATTTGTGGGTATGTATTGTTCAAATCTTGTTATGTCATGGAATATCTTGCTTGCTCCACCTACAGTAATTGAAAACTTTGCTGGGTACAGTAGGTTGGGCTGGCATCCATGTTCACTTAATGTTTGTAGAACATTTATCCTGGATCTTCTGGCCTTCATACTTTCCATTGAAAAGTCAGGTATACTTTGGATAGGTCTGTCTTTATATGTTACTTGGCCTTTTTCTTTTGCTGTTATTAATATTTTCTCTTTATTCTGTAGGTTTAGTGTTTTAATTGTTATGTGGTGAGGGAACTTCTTTTTTGCAGACTGGTTTATTTAGGGTTTTGCTAGCTTCTTGTACTTTCATAGGTGGGGGAAGTTGGGAGATGGGGCCCTGAGCATTGCCCACACTTACCTCAAGCAGAGGGTGGGAGGCAGAGGTGGACTGCTTTATGATGTTTTAAGTCTTTCCAGTTATTCATTTAGCAGTATGGAAGTGTCAATTTGTCTAGGTATTTAATTATGTGAGATTATTAAATTCTTCTTCCTGCATAAGATTAAGAGTATATTCTGTGGCCAACTCATAGTGTTACACTTTTCTAATTCTGTGAGTTCATACAAATAATATACAGGATTTTTATCCCTTTATTTCACAGTAGTTGTTGTGCATAGCTTGTTCCCTTTAAAATATCTCAAAAATAATTGTTAATAATATTGTTTTCTTTCTTTCTATATTTATCTTTTATATTTTAAAAATATTTATTTATTTATTTGGTTTATGTAGGTGTGTGTTTTGCCTATATGTATGTCTGCACTTATAGATACTTCAGGAGGCTAGAGGAGAACTTCAGATCTGAAACTGGAGTTACAGACACTTGTCAGCCATCATGTGGTTGACAGGAACTGAACACAAGTACTATGGAAAGAGCAGCAAGTGTTCCTACGTGCTCAGACATATTTACAACCAAAAATCTTCTTTTCTGTTCTTTTTTTTCAGGCAGTACAAATGATGTTATCTTTATTTTCAATTTCTAAATGTATTGTATCTGTAATATACACTCATGTGTACATCGAAGCATATGCATGTATATAAATTTCCTTTTCGCCTAAAAAATTTGAGAAAAGAGTGACCTTCTAAAATGTGGTCTGTCTGATTTGATTTTTCCCTCATCATGATTAAATATGTTAGATGCATAAAAATCACTTCCAAATTCTTTTTATCATCATCTCCTACTGTTATTGAAGACATATTCTTTTCTTATATGTCCTGATTACATTTTCCTCTCCCTCTACTATTTCCAATTCCTCCATACATCCCATCCTACCCAGATTTCCTCCTTTTTTGAGTGTTATTAGACAAGAATACACCTTTAAGAGATAACAGCAAAACTAAGAAAACAGTAAAATGAGACAAAACAAACAAAGCATAACTTTGAAGTTGGTCAATGCAAACCAACAGAAGGAAAGACCTCCAGAGAAAGCACAAGAATCAGAGACCCACACATTCACACACTCAGGAGTCCCATAAAAATACAAAACTGAAAATGTAATATATGTGCACAGGACCTGTGCAGACCCATACCAGCCCTGCGTATGCTGCCTCAGTCAGTCCCTGTGAGCTCACATGAGCCTTGCTTAGTTAATTTAGATGAACCAGTAGTCCTAGTATCCTCCATCCTTTATGCTCACATACTCTTTCAGCATTTTCTTCTGCAAGGAGTTCCATGAGCTCTGAGGGTAGGGATTTGATGGACATATCCCATGTAGAGCTCAAGATTTCAAGGTGTCTCTTTCTCTGCATGATGTTTAGCTGTGGGTCTCTGTATTTGTGTTTAGCTATGGGTTTCTGTATTTGTTCCCATCTGCTGGATGATGGGCTAATCTATTAATAGGAGGGATTTATAATTTCTGTAACAGAAATTTTCATGATGGGAGACCTTGTGAAAGAACATAGCAGTTGCTTGACATCAACAGACTTGACATTTATGGAAGAAATAGGTTTCTGTGCATGGTAAGGTCGTAAGTCTTTTGACATACCCCAAAATCCTATGTTTTGTTGCATTTCCTGGCAGGATGTGTACAAACATGTTTTACTACAGTTTGAACACCTTGGCCACAGGCCAAATAAACAATTTTCCTTACAGAATTTACTTAAGGAAGTCAATCTAAATAGCTGACTTCAGTCAGAGTGATCACCATGAAAGTTGCATCTCCAGAGTTTCCTGTTCCGTTTGTAGGTAGCTTCACAAAAGAATATTCTTTTCTACATAATCTGATTATTGCTCATGTATCCCAAGTGAAAAGTCTCATGCGTATCATGATTTTTGTGAACTTCCTCAATCTTATTGACTGACACATTATAGGTCGAAATACATTTGGAAGAAACAGAAGTTACAGTGTTTAGTTAAAGTCACCTGGTACATAGACATCTGTGTGAAGATTCTTATGTACATATTCATTCCCAGTTTGGATGTACAGTGTATATTACTGTTCAGTATTCTCTTTTCAGCATTTAAAATCATATCCCCTTTCTATCAAGTCATCAGAAATAATTTTGTGTAGAAACATGTGTCTATCTGTGCTCTGGATTTTTTGGATGTTTTGTAAGGTTTCCTAGGCTAAAAGCTTGATATCCATTGTGCCAATGTGAAGGTGATATGAATAATCCTATTCTCAATCTTTGGTTCCCTGTCTTGCCATTTGTTTCCTCTCTCTTTGGTGCTATTAGAGAGACCTAAGGAATGAAATTTACTGATCTTAGACTATAACTTCAGAAATTATGAACTAAGAAACCTCTTCATTGTAAACTAACTAACTTTAAGTATTCATTAGTAAAGAAAACTAATATAACAATAAATAATATTTTCAATGATTAACAGTTTTTAATTTGCAATGTTTGATGATTTTTCACCAATTCTTTCCCCAGAAATTTGTGATTTAATTTTCACCTGATCTCTTGATTATTATTGTTTATTAGTTAGTTTTTTAAACATATAGAAGCAAATTTAAAGAAATTACAGTGGAACATACAGTATTCACTGGGTTTCCTGCCTGTGAATAATTATCATTTTCTTAAGGATATCAACATAGTTCAACATTTTAAGTGGCCAGACTTAATATATTTAATTAAAAAGGTAATTGGAAATATAGATTTGCAAATATCATCACTGTCAATGTCTTTTTTCAGTTTGCCGCAGATAATTTTGAAAGTTTTTGGTTAGTTTGAAAATTTCCTCAGGATGACATTCTACTCTCAAGGGTAAAAGGTTTTTTTCCATCTGTTAAAAAATTTCTAGAGGACTACTTCAGATTTTATCATGAGCACTCTTTTTCATAATGACAAAGGCATATCTTGGGAAATCTCCCAATAGTTATCAGATGAAATTCTAAGTTTCAGCAATGAGCGATTTTTATTGAGAATTAATAGAAATCTAGAGTGAAAAACATAAAAGGGAAGACAACCTCTTACTGTCCTGTAGACAAAAAATATTCAGCCCTACAAAAGCACAGATTCTCCTCCATAGAATGATAAATCAAACTCAAAGTCTGGGATCTATTTCACTGTTAGTTTTATTGGTCTATTTTCCTGAATCATATATCAATACTAAAAGTTCAATCTCCCTCTCTCTCTCTCTCTCTCTCTTCTCTCTTTCTCTCTCTTTGATTTGTAGTGATCTTATTAACTTATTAAGCAATTTTCAAAATCTATGTGCCCAGGAAAAAGAAATCCTAGAAAAGCTTACTGTGAGTTGAAAATCATGGCAGGGTATGAAGAAAAGAAATACATAGATACATAGACAAACAGAGATAGATAGATAGATAGATAGATAGATAGATAGATAGATAGAGCTTCCAGTCACTTATTCACAGGAGATCTGATCTGACTTTACTGCAACACAGGGTTACTCTACCCACAGTGACATCTAAAGTAAATGTGATTTTGTGTCCGAGTAACTTATCCTTGACAACACATTTGAAAAGACCCTGCAGAAAACTACTGTCAGATTTAATTCAAGCCAGACAATTTGAGTAAAGATCACTTGCTGATGTGTGACTTCTAATCAGTTTAGCCTTTAGTGAGAAATGGAGGCCCAGTCCATGCTTCTGCCAAGCTGAGACATCATCATGAGAGGCATGATGAACTTGCAGAATCATGCTCCATCCTCTGGGTCTCATTCTTTCATCTCTTGGAAAGAATCCCCAACTCTGCTGATCCTCTCTTAACCTACTTCCGGTTCCTGTTCAATGTCACCAGGTTTGTCATTAGCTAGACTTAAATTTCCTTAGGTGCTGAATTGTAATGCCTAAAATGGTGATATATAAATGAAAGTTGGCTTTTCATGGTCAATAAAACTATATAAAACAAGCAATGTAACAAAAAAAAACTATTGCTGAGAAAGTGAAGTAAAATATTCAATAGGTAGATTGGTAGATTGGGGAAGTGAGGAGAAACATATAAAAGCAGAATTTGTCACAGTTATTGCTATACTGATACAGGAAGATATTTGTACACATAACAACACACACATACCAACACACATGCACACACATGCGCATGCACACACACACACACACACACACACAGACTCACACACCATATTCACACATAGACACATACACACTTTAACTTTGTATTTCCTGGAGTTGTTTTTCCAGGACTATGTCATAAGGATTAAGGAAGTGGACAGGTTGTCTCCTTTGAATACTAAGCCTGATGCTTTATCGTAAAGTAAACTCCAGCCCACCTACTTTGCAGGAATATGTGGGAGGCAGTCTCTTCTCTATATTGGCAGGTGGTAAATTGTGTGGGCAGATGCGTGGCTGTTTAATTTTCTTTCTGGGAATTTGCTGTTGTAGTGACCTCTGATACATGTTATTCTTGCTATTCTGGGGAACCAATTATTACTAACCAAAGACTTCCTTCAAAATTGCCTGTATAACATTGGGTTGTCAAAAACATTTGAGAAGTCATTTATGTGGTTATTGTTTCTATTATTTCATGAATTGTAAATAAAGATGATCAGATTTCTCTCATATTTACACTGACATTATGCTATTAAAATATACATAAGAGATTTTTTTAGCAACATGAAATGAAAAGGAGCTCAAAATTAATGTTCAGCTTTAGGATTAGCTTTTAAGGAACTATGTTTCTGTGTCTGTCTCTCTTTCTGTCTCTCTGTCTCTGTCTGTCTCTGTGTCTCTGTCTCTGTCTCTGTCTCTGTCTCTGTCTCTGTCTCTCTCTCTCTCTCTCTCTCCCGATTGCTAGGTAACTTGACATTTAATGTCAATTAAATAGTTTTGTTTTAAAAACCTACTGTGTTTGGGTGTGAAAATAAGGGGCTTTTAAGCAACCATGGTTGCAGAGATTTCTTGTCTTACAGTGACCGTAGTAACAAGAGCAGACCCTCTCTGTAGACAGCTTCACTGTGGCCTTCTCTACATGAAGATTGAGACACCATCAAAGAGCTGTCTCACTTAAACTTATCTCTGGAAGGCTATTTACACCTGTCTGAAACTTGGATGCCCTATTTTCTCTCTTTGAACTCATAGCCTGGTGGCCAACAGAGCAAAAGGAAAAGGGAGAACCCCACACTTGAACCTATCTAATATTGAGGATTAATGATGTAATCTCTTGCAGACTTAATGAGAAGAGATGGTTACCAGTATCTGTCTGGGCATGATTCATCTTATGCTTTGCTTGAAAGGCAGATAGTTGGTCTGCTGTTTTTCTTGGAACTAAGTTATGCATTCAAAAAGTTATGTGCTTTTGAAATCTATGCAACTTTGGTATCTTCTTGACAATCATTATTCTGGGGAGTATCAGCCTATTGTGTTTAAATTAATTTATCTAAAGACGTAATAATTATGATAAGGATCAGGTCATTTTAATTAAGTATTGTCTTTGGTCTATGATTGTGTTTGTGAATTAGGTTGAAACAGAAATGTATTTCTTTAATTTCTTAGACAGATAAAGAAATACTAAATTGGCCTGAATGTATAAACCGACTTTAACTGCTATGGAAAAGCATAAGTTACAAAGCTCAGAACATACAGACTGACTTGTCATGTGAAAGTGATATTGTACCAAGTCAATACAATATAGTTACTCTATTGCAAAAATACACTCCTCTGTCTAAAACACACAGACTGTAGCAACACATGATGATAAGCATATCTCTTACATTCTAAGATACTATAAATTCTTTTGTTGTTGTTGTTAAGATTTTATTTTATTTTTTAAACTTTTTCAAACTTAATCATTTGGTATTTCACATCATGCACCAATTCCCACTCATCTCTCAGTCCTGCCACATCTTACTTCCATCCTTGTAATCTCTACTGCCAAAAGTTAATAAACAAACAAACAAACAAACAAAAGTCTCGTTGAACCCCTGGGAAACAAACTTCTCCTCTAACAACCACAATTGCTCTGTGTGTATACCATTCTACTCCTCTGTCTTTCACACATCTATATCATATATTTCTTTGGTTTGTTGTTGTTGTTGTTATGGTAGCCTTGGAAGCAACAGTGTGTCAAGAAGTATACCCTTTTGCCAAATCAGCCTGAACTTGTGAATATTTATTACAACTGAGTTGAGCACCGCCATTCAGGTCTCTTTGTTCTCTCACATGGTAGTTCTCTCAACTATATGACATCATGTCTTTTCTGCCACTAAGGACTATACCCTCAACAAGTGAGACAAAAATTCTTTGTCCCATTAGTTGCTCTTTTTTAGATACTTGGTCACAGCAATGAGAAAAGAAAATCTAATACTGAGAATATCATCTGTCAGTGCCATGCATTCCCTTGTGTAATCTCATGTTTGATCATATACATTAATACCATTTACCTTATTAATATATTCATTACAAAGTGTCTTACCTTTATTTTTCATTTCTTCTCTTTTCATTAGCCTGCACGTATTTAAAATGAAAAAATAATAAAAAGGCAAATATTGGAGAATACTGTATATTAGCTATTCGTACATTCAACATTTCTAGAAACCAGGGATTTTGTTTTAATGCTTCTTTTGCAAATGTTAGACTAAAATTAAATTACTGTTTAAGAACAGATCTAGAATTTCTTAAAGATATAAAAGTAGCTTAAGGTCAAAGTGTTAAGAAGGGCACAGTACACATCATATATAATTGATTTCAAACAAATGACTATCAGAGTGTCCAAGTTCCTAAGTATTTTTCTGTTGAGACCAATATATAGCTTTTCTCTTCTTGAAAGGAATTTTGGAAATATCTTTGAAGCAATTTTATTCATTGTACATGGTGTGAGGTTTCATAAAGACAATTACTATGAAGTGTATCATGTATACTGACTATACCAGCTCTCATAGTTTTCTTCTCCCCTCTACATTTCTGCTATTTCTTTTTTTTGGTTCCTATATTTTCTATCTATCTATCTATCTATCTATCTATCTATCTATCTATCTATCTATCTATCTTTCTATCTATCTATCTATCATCATCATGCTCATCCTCAGCTATCTCTATATCTAATATGTTGCTTATTATGACTTTATCTCCCTATTAAAATATAGGATCCACCAAAAAGAAATCATGTGCTATTTACTTTTCTTTCAAATCTGGTTTCTTATGCTTATGATGAAGATGTCCTGATGCATCTATTTTTCCAGACAATGATATGAGTTCCAGTTAACTTTGACAAATGAAAATACCTGGTAAGTATTATCTAGTGCTTGACATGGCATGTGTTTCATTGTTTTAGAGTCTCTTTTTTTATTTACAATGTTACTTTCTGAGGAGATTCACATTTTGAGCCAATACATACTTAATATCCTACATTATACAGTCCATGTTTGCTGAGCTGAGTAGAATTTTCTGAGGGAAATATTGTATTGTTATATTCTGCTAGGATACTGACAGTGTAGGAAAATAGTCTACTATTGTTCTTTTAAAACTGATTTAAACTTCTCCAATAAATAAACCTCACACATCAAGGTAGACTTAATGTTTCTCTGACATAAAAATTCTAAGATATTGTTATAAAAATGTAAAAATAAAATGATGTTTCTTCTTTTTCTCTTTGCCAGAATTTCTCTTTTTGCAGACTCTGAAGTCATAGACCTAAATACTTTTTATGGAGCCTAATATAATAACCCTTGTACACTTTGAATAAAACATGATGCTAGACTGTGTATTACTGATTTACATAGAATAGTTATTTATCCATTACAGAGTTATCTCCCTAATTTAAACAACATAAGTTTTATTGACATTTATTTTTATTTAAAATAAACCTTAGAGGAAACACATTTTCTCAAAAATAAAATTTAGAGGCAATATAAAGAAATCTCATTTTTATTTCAAGGAACAAGAAAACAACTAAATAGATGTTAGTAGGTGATGAACCCAGCCAGATACATGTTTAAAATTCATGATATTAATGCGAAAGGGGAATGGAGGTTGTGAGGATAGCATTTGGCCAGTAATTCATTAAGAAACTATGGTTACTTGACCTATGATACACATATGAGATTTCTAAAGCTCCAAGAGCATAGTGTGGGGCTGTAGGTGTGGCCTAGTGGTAGAGTGATTGCATAATTTTTATGACAACCATGAATCGAATCCATTCCCCAGATTATCAAAACAAGAATAACAACAACAAAATAAAATGACACTCTGCTTGACTTAATCAGCTAACAATAGAGGTATTGGTGGTGAACATGTAAAAAGATACTATGATGGTCGAATGACAATGTAAAGTAATGAATTATTTGCTAAAGATTAACAATATTGCCCACTTAACTGTATCTTATATAAGTACTTTATTTGCTGTTATGTAAAGGTAATAAGAGCACACATAATTTGACAAGCAAATTGTTACAAAGCTATGGAAATAACTCAGCTAGTAAAGTGCACATGTGAAAATGTGAGGGCTAAAAAATAATAGAAAAATGAAAATGTGAAGGTTAATTTAAATCCCCAGAATCTGAGTAATAACCGTGGCATGGAGATTTACATTGCAATTTCAGGACTGGGAGAGACAGGCAGAGCCCTGGGGTTCTCCGGCCAGTAAGTCAATCTATGCCACTTGACAAGCGTAAGACCAGTGAAGATCATGTCCCAACAAGCAAGGAAGATAGTGTCTGAGAATGATGAATAAATATGATCTATTTTTTCCATGTTTGTGCACAGAATTTCCTGAATACAAATATACACACAAAATGTAAATGATTTGTCTGGTGAAAGAGTCAAATAATAGAAAAAGGAGAGGCAGGGCTCAAGTATCCCAATGCCTTCTACATCTGATTACTGAAGTCTTTAGAGTGAGAATACAGTCTGTGGTGATGGTTGGGGGTATTATACAAAAAAATTTCACTGAATGTATACATGCATAACATTTGTTTTCTTTTCTACAATGTGTCCAGCAGAATCCATAGGAAGACTGGTGGCAAGAAGCATCTTTCCTTGTCCTTAGAAGAAATACTTTTAGAAAGGATAGGATTCAAAGTTTTCTAAATCTTAGAGGTCATGTAACCCAAGAAAAGGTCCTGTTTAACTTTAGAAATGTTAGGAAAATCATTTTGTACTTGAGTACAGTTTAGTCTTATTCAAATTCTTTCCTTTTGCAATATTTTTATTAATTATTTTATAATTTTGTGCAGTCAGTAAGGTTTTCATTGCTGTGATAAAGATCATGAGAGAAAAGATAGAGAGGAAGGAGTTTATTTCAGTTTACAGTTGAAGAAGTCTTGAAGGGAGGGCAAGGCAAGAACTCACAACATGAACCTAAAGGCATAAACTGAAGCAGTCTGTGTCATAGAAGAATGCTGCTTCCTGGACTGTTCCTAGGTTTGCTCCACCTGATTTCCTGTATATTCCAGAATCTCTGGTTAGTGATGGCACCCACCACACTGGACTGGGCCCTTCCACATCAATCATTCATAAAGAAAAGGTACCACAGTTTTGCATACAGGACAATATTACAGGATTATTTTCTTAGTCGAGTTTCCCTCTCCTCCGATGACTATACTCTGTGTCAAGCTGCCAAAGTATGTAAGTAAATAAATAAATAAGTAGAGAGGTAAATAAGGCCAGCAACACAATATATCCACATTCTCTTTCCTTGGGGGATCATGGAATAGCTTGAGGTACACAGGACACAGGAGTGGCAGGAACTCAGATTAGGTAACATTTGGTTCCAAGTTGATAATCTCTATGTCCATTAGAAGTGTCCAGCCAAGCACATCCACAGTCAGTGCCACAGCAGGACATACCTATAGCCAGACCCAGGCATGGATCACAACAGTGTCATGTTCTGTGTCCTTTAGGGATGCCATCAGAAGCAGCAGGCAAGTCCATGATATGGGGAGGGAGCAGCAGATATGTGGTCTCCCTGCAAGGGATCACAGTAGCCCATTATGAGGGAACCACCAGCCTGACACCTGGGGAAGAGGATGAAGCAATGTTACCTGAGAACAATGTAAATTGGATTTGGAAATCCAGTGGTACTTTTTTGCTATGTAATTTCCTTATGAATATTTTCTAGCTGATAATTTTGCAAAAGTATACTTAGTTATAACTGAGGTGATAAGTTCAATGAGTAAATGAAATTTTATTTGTACTAGCTATCAGAAGAATAACTCTACAAATAAGTATATGTTCTCCAGATATCTTAAATAATTATTTGCTATTTTGAAAGTAAATATACATGACTTAAGTATACTATAAATAATTTTAAAATGTAGAATCAAATGATTTATTAATATAGTTATTTCTTCTATATATGCATTAAATACATTGGTGTTTAAAAGGGCATATATAATGAATAATTTGTGACTTCTAATCCTCTTTCATGAAACGTTTAAGTGTTACCTTCCTTATAAGTCATCCCTCTATATTTTCCTCTGATACATTAAATCACCATCCTCTTCTATCAAGCCTGACCTGTGAATGTGTGTGTATATACACAAACATATGTATATAAGTATGTATGTTTGTATGTATGTTTAGTGCGTGTTTTTAACTTTTAAGATTACAGTCCACACTCACTATGTTATGATCTTCAGTTTTACATTATATATAGCTGTTTTATATATATAAGTATATATATAAGTTATATAGCTATATAACTATATATTAGTTGTATAGCTAAATGCATAACATCCGGATAAAGCGAGGTTATAAACTATTGTAATAATTTTCTTGGAAAATGGGAACAATAACAATGACTGTCATTGTGGATTAATTTTGTTTAATTTCTTGAAATTTAAATTGACAATAATGACAGCTAAGAGATCAAAACACATAGGAAATTAATTCTTGTCAAAATATAATCATCTTTTTACTTGACAAATTATATAAAAAGATATGAGTATATGTAAACTTCCTATATTTTCAGGGAGGTCATTATTATTATTATTATTATTATTATTTTGGTTTTATGAGACAGAGTTTCTCTGTATTGTTTTGGAGGCTGTCTGTCCAGCCTGGCCTTGAAGTCACAGAGATCTGCCTGCCTCTGCCTCCCCAGTGCTGGGATTAAAGATGTGTGCCACCACCGCCCGACAGGAGGTCATTATTTTTATTACAGATTCTCTCATAATCTAGGCTGGCCTCAAAATCAATATATAGCAAAAGATTACTTTGAACACCTTATTATTTTTGGAATTATTGTTGATTCTTTTTATCCTACTAATATTGAGGAAAAATCAGAATATATGTACAGTCTGGCAGACAAAACTATTAACAGCTTAATAAAGCAACTAATTCATATTTTCAGAAAAAGTTAATTAAATAAGAGATAACTTACTCCCCTATGACAATGTATTCAAGGATACTTTCCACTTTCTCTTCTAAGAGGTACAATGTGGCTGGATTTATATTGAGGTCTTTCTTTCACCAGAACAAGGAAAGAAATTCCTTTATAGAGAGAGTCATTGTGGGGTTAACAAGAAACCTAGCACTAGGGAAATTAACAGGAATCTACAAGGATCAACCCAGTTAAGAATTGAAGCAATAGTGGAAAAGGTCCCTTAGCTACCTACCATTCCCCTATAATAAGATTGATGACTATTTTAATTGCCCTCATCCAGTAACTTATGGAAGCAGATGTGGAGAACCACAGCCAAGCACTGGGCCGAGTTACTGGAATCCAGTTGTAGAGAGATTGGAATGATAATATGAGCAAAGGAGTCAGGAACATGCTGGGGAGATCCACAGAGACAGTTGACCTGAGCAAGTGGGAGCCAGCTGTCTCTAGACTGAGAGCTGGGGAATCTACATGGGACTAAAATAGACCCAGTGAATGTGAATGACTATATGGGGGGGGCTTGGACAGCTTATGGGGCCACTAGCAGTAGAACCATTATTTATCCATAGTGCATGAACTGGCTTTTTGGAGCCCATTCCCTATGGAGGGATACCTTGCATATCCTGGATGCAGGAGAGGACCTTGGTCCTGCCCCAAATGATGTGATGGACTTTAATTTTCTCATGGCAGTCCTAGCCCTTGCTGAGGAGTAGATGGGGGAATTGGGTGGGAGAGAGTGGGTAAGTGGGAGGAAGGGAGTGAGGGGGAACTGGGATTGGTTGTAAAATAAGAATTTTTAAAAATAAATATAAAACAGAAAAAGAGATAACGTACTAGATGTGAAGCTATCATTTTACAAATCCTAGTTTTCAAACATTAGGAAATGAATGGAGACCTCAAGCAAAA